ATTTGTGGTCTTATTGTAGGACCCGACTAAAGCACTCGGAGTATAGTCCATCCACAGTCTCATTGCAAGACCTGACTAACCCCACCCATCCGATCATAGTTATAATATATATAATAATAACCGTCACTCTTAATGATTGTAACCTATTTGGATACCCAAAATAATATAATCATGCATACTCAATCCCCGTACATGTACTCTTCGAACTATGCATGAATATCAGCTCACGTATTGTAAAAAAAATGCTCACCAAACAAACACACAAGCAAAAGGTTCAATCTCACAAAAGCCGACCTGATCAGTTGACCGACAACCTCATCGGTTGACTAATAAGGTCGTTCACAAAACAACAAGGCAAACACAAGCCCGTCAGTCGATTGATGCTTGCCATCAGTCGACTGATGACCTCCCTTCAGTCGGCTGATGACATCTTCAGTCGACTGAACAGGCCGAAAATGCACAATTTGTTCTTCTCTCGTGTTTTCTTCAAAAACTCGGGTTTTTATCAGATTATATGAATAAAACTTGATTCCATTGTCATGTATACTTAACCAGGAGTTTGTTTAAAAAAGACGAATCACATGAACACATAGATCTAGGGTTTAACATGCAAAACAATATAATTCTTGTTTATTTCGACAATCTAAAGCATATAAATCATATTAAACTATAATTAACTCATTAAAATAAACCCTAATAATCATGATCATGTCGATATCTCAGTTTCAGATTCATCCTACTGTTCTTGACATAAGATTTAATCATAAACATCACATGTAACATGTTTAATATTAGATTTAGACCCTAAACATAAAGTTAAACATATAAATCTCTTAAAAACATGATTTTTATTCAAGGGAAAGGTTTGGACAGAGGTGATCTTGCCTTTGCACGTGTACAAGCCTCTGAAAAGAACAGCAAGTGATTACCCCATCGCCAAACACTGAAAATCCCGACTTTTCCTCGACGTTCTCTTCACAAACTCTCCCAAAAACTCACTTTAGGGCTAGTGTTTGAGAGAGAGGAAGAGGTGCTCCTAGGATTTGAAATTCTGATGTAAAGATGATAATTTTTGTAAAAACACAGGTATATATATATATATATATATATATATATATATATATATATATATATAGGCTAGTGTTTGAGAGAGAGGAAGAGGTGCTCCTAGGATTTGAAATTCTGATGTAAAGATGATAATTTTTGTAAAAACACAGGTATATATATATATATATATATATATATATATATATATATATATATATAGTAGTACTGAACTGAGGTCTTCAACAATATCCAGAAGGTGTGTGTATAATATGTACTAAAACTTTTTCTCAAAGTAATCGGGTCAAAACCCATCATAATTCCTTTCAGCATACCCATGTATGTGCTACTATACTATTTATAAATTTACGTATAAAGAAGTGCGGCTCAAAACCTGCAAACATATATCAAACAGATGCAAAATAAAAATTCAGGCAACAATCTTAATAGTCAACTACTAGGCTTAGTAGTCGACTACACTGAGTCTATCCAGACTCTGTAATAACATATATTAGTATCAGTAGTCGACTATTAAGAACATTAGTCGACTACTCTGCAAACACATAGTTTCTGTTATACTCAACTGGGCACGAGTTGCTGACTACTAAGCTTAGTAGTCGACTACTCTGTCAAGACACGTATTCTTTCGTGCACAAACAATACTTATGTTAATTGTACATATCATAACATTAAAGCGAGATTTTATACTTGGCATATGCAACAGGAATTATCAGAATCATCAAATTAAATTATTATATCTTCCAAATTAGGGTTTAACATCCTAATTAAACAATTTCTTCAATTATCTCATATGTAAACAAAGTGATTATCAACATATGATAAAAACTACTCATGAACAGAGGTAAAATTTATTTAAACATGTTTATATTACTTAGGCATCACAAACCTAGGGTTTAATCATGATTAATTAACATGAAAACTCAAAGAAACCTTCACGTAATATATCAATTATTTCAAATCAGCATATCTGCAGTTTTCTGTAAAATATATCATTAGTAAATTGAGCATATCTTTTTCAAGACAAACTCTTTTTAAGAATAGTTTTATGTTTTGGAAACAAGATCCATATATCTATCATTTGGCACTGGTTTGGTTTAGTTTGGTGTTTATATGATATCTCAAATTTTTAGTTAAAAAGTTACACACGTGCAACAGTTTTTTACAGAACATGTCATTAGTAAATTGAGTATATATTTCTCTATAAAAACTATTTCTTGTAGTGGTTTTCTATTTTGGAAAATAGGTTCATATAGATTTCATTTGACACTAGATTTGTTCAGTTTGGAGTTTATATGATATCTCAAATTTCTAGTTAAATGTTATACACGTGCAGCAGTTTTCTAAAATCTATGATGAAAACAAAAACTAAACCTCTTTATAATTCAATTAGACAACAAATTTGGGTTAACACATAAGTTAAACATAATTATCAAGTTAAAAAAATAAAAATTTAATCACGTACCCCCAATGATCATGATCATATTACTATCATAAACAATTAGAAAAAGCTAATGATCTAGCATTGGGTTAAGATTTATCATCAAAAATCTCTTTATCATATTAGGTTAAGCCTTAAGTATGCAAACATTGATTAAACACTTTTATAATCATTAAACACTATGGGGATAGGTTTGGATGCAGATGATCTTGCCTTATCATGTGTTCAAGCCTCTTAAACTGATGTGAAATGACTCCTCGTCGCCAAATATCGTAGATCTCGCATTTTCCTCGCTTCTCGCCTCACAAGACGCTCCTAAAATCTCAACTTTAGGGCTAGTCTTTGAGAGAGGGAAGAGAGGTGGATGCAGATGATCTTGCCTTATCACGTGTGCAAGCCTCTGAAACTGATGTGAAATGACTCCTCGTCTCTAAACACCGTAGATCTCGCATTTTCCTCGCTTCTCGCCTCACAAGACGCTCCTAAAATCTCAACTTTAGGGCTAGTCTTTGAGAGAGAGGAAGAGAGGCTACTAGGGTTTGAAACTCTGATGAAAAGATAATAATTTTTGTGAAAACACATGTATATATATATATATATATATATGCAAACCCGAAATAAACCCGTTTGATCCAAACCAGGAAACCTAGTCTGACTGGGAAATTAACCTTTAATATTTTAGCTGTAACTTTCTCATCCGATCTCAGAATGAGGTAATATAAGATTTATTGGAAAGCTATTGAAAAGAACTACAAATTTGATCTTTTGATTGTTTCCAGATTCAAACTGCATCGGTGTGTAAAATATATAAATTCTTAACTGGTTATTTTTCTAGATTTCTCTTCGTGCATGTGTTGTGCATTTGCACTCATATATTCACAAATATACATTGAATTGATCTCAAATCAATTCCTATCATAGTCAAACATCAAAATATATTATTTTTCACCATATAGCATATTTATTTTTATTTTTCACATAATATTCAAATTTTTAGGGTTTTACAGGTCTATCAGAATCATCGATTTAATTCAAATAACACACTGTTTCACCCAATTTCATGATCTTTGGCATGAATTAAATTCAAAACAACTAATGTGATAGATGGATTTAACAAAGTTTGCATCAATAATTATGAATAATTCTAATCTCAATCAATTTAATTGCAATATTCATTATCATGCACAAGTTCTACAATCAATATCAAACTTTAACAGTCACATGCTCAATTACTCTCAACTCACAAATATAATCTAAGCAGTGAATATATGATAAGAGTTTAGAGATGAAATACTCATGCAATTAACTAATAAAATGAGATTAAAAAAAATAGAGAGAAATCGAAACCTTCGTCGGCCTGAAGAGACTCGACGTGAGGGACCTTTGGAGGTGGTGCGACGACGTCGAACTGGATGACGACGCGACGGCGAACTGAGCGACGACAATGGCGGCGACTGAGAGACGACTGGACAGCGGCCGAACTGAGAGACGACGGCGGCAAATCCGAGCGACGATGAGGGTGACAGGTCAACGTGTAAACTAGCGACGTGGGTAACGAGAGAACATGGTTAACGAGTGTACGCGAGCGAGATGACAAGGACGGCTGTTCGAGGTGGATCTGACAGTTTGAGGAGGGGGAAGGGGTGGCTACGCGATATGGAGGAAAGCAGGAGTAAGTTCGTCGGGACTGTTCGAAGTGGGGGTGATTGGCGGGGCCGCTCGAAGTGGAAGGGAGCAGGGGAGGAGGCGACGACGGAGGCTGTTGGAGGAGGAGAAGAGCGGGGACGGTTGTTTGGAAAAACGAAGAAGAAACATGGGAGGGTGGATGTTTGTGGAAGAGGAGCCAGGAGAGTCAGCCTAGGGTTTCACACCCGAGGCTTCACACTAATAATGAATTAACAAAATTTTTCATTGATTCAAATATTCTTTTCCAAACTCTGGTTGCAGCAGTCTTTTAAAGAGAAAAAAAATTACAAATTCTAAAATCTCTCAAATCACTCAAATTGTTGCGTCTTTTAAAGAGAAAAAAATTACAGATTCTGAAATCTCTCAAATCACTCAAATTGCAACGAGAGACTCTACAACCAAATTTGACCCAAAATTTAAAATTCAAAATTTAAAATTCAAAATTAAAATCCTAACAAAATAGAAAATCCCTTAAATCTCTCACAATGAAAACTAAATTAAAATATGGTCAAACTTGCCAAATCTTTCTTATTCAAAACTAAAATAAAAGAAAGTCAAATTACAAATATAAAAAATTATCATTATTGTGCTCGTCAAATAGCCTGTGAGAAAGGCACACGGGAATATAAGTCAATAAATAAATCTTATCATCCACACAATAAAATATAATAATTAAGTCTGGATATAATAGATGATAAGTCACTTCGTTCTTAACTACGTACCCTCCAAAAAGCCTAAATGCCACTCTTCTCCAAAGAAGAGAGAGGGGCAAAAAAAAAAAAAAAAAAAAAAAAAAAGGAAAAAAACCAAAAAAAAAAAGGGGGAAAAAAAAAAAAAAAAAAAAAAAAAAAAGGGAAAACACTGACTAACAAAATCTATGCCTTCGGAGCACCACCAAGAGCTGGGAACTGGCCACAATCTTCAATTACAGGTGCATGAGAAGCCTTAGGAGCAGGCTTAGGCTCAGGCTTTGCCTCTTTCTCAGGCATGCGAGCAGAGAAACCACCTCGAGTATAATCTCTGCCGCCATTGCGGTTGTCTGGGCCTTGGTCGTTATTGTTTCTGCGATGATCACTCCTTTCAGGTCTACGGAACTGAAAATTTGGGATGATTGGCTGCAAGTATCAACGAGAGAAGGTCAGTCTCCATGTCTCAACCCGCAAGGTGTGATGATCTTCATGTGTGTATTTATTTATTTATGCAAATTTCATACACACATTCCTAAAAATGCATCAACAAAACCTTAACCTTCTGAAAGCTTTATTTATCAGTATGTTTGTTGTATGCAAATAAACAAATAGCCTTCTTTTAATTGACTGCAAAATGCTAAAAACTTATAGACCAGCATTTTGTCCGCTTTCTGCAAATTCGATCGATAGCTAGGAAATGGAAAATTTATATAACAGTAATAAAAGCACAACTTAAAAGTAACTCAAAAAAACCTCAGTAGATAATATCTTGACCAAAGTAAACTAGTGCAATTTGGTAGCATTTCAATATATCTAGAGCCGAATCCTTATAGTGCAATGTTTTGCAGCAGATTTCAAATAAGACTAGCTGAGGATCGAGACGAAAGCAAGCAACCGAGGTTGAAATATAACTGTTGTAATGCTGAGAAAGATGCAAGCTCATAAAAGAAGCAAGACATGGAAGATGCGGGGATATCAATCACTTCCGCATATTGAAAACCCAACGTGTGCAAACGTAAACCCAGATATATAAAAATTGATCGAACGCGATAAAAGGTTCAAATACACTACCTCACGAACTTTGTCTTTCTTTCCATGACTATTTCTCCTCTGCAGCTTATCAGATTTCTGTACCGAGAACAAAGAAGCCATTTGTTGGTCAAGGACAGATCCTACATGTTTCAAAAAAAAAAAAAAGTGTACGATAAAGAAACCAACCAATTACGTACCAGCTGAACGAAAACTTCATCTTTCTTTTTCTCAATAATTTTCACTTCTCTTTCAATCACGACCTTCCTTTCCTCAGGCTTCAAACCTTCTGGTGTCTTTTTCTCCTCTTCAAATTTCTTCAGTTTCTCTTCTAGTGCCTTTCTTTTCTCTTGGCATTTTTCCTCATATTGATGAAGTGTAAGTTTCTGAAACAATATCAGAAACAGTTTATTTGTGTACGACACATATATAGAAACGTTCAGCATGCTTGATTACATGCTGTTAATCAGCAAGGCTAACCAAATGACAAATTCACCTTTGCTTCCGCTTCCCTCTCTTTCTTCAATCGTTCACTCTTTTCATTCCATTCACGTTCCATCTTTTCTTTCTCTTCAAGACGTCTCTTTTCCTCTTCAGTGAGGGTCTTCGCAGGCTGTTCAACATTTTGCACTTCAGCAGTTTTACTCATTTTCCTGCAAAAATGGAATAAGGTCAGTTTGATATAAATGCCATAAGACTGACAATACAGTCGTCGTAAGCCCAAAATAATGACATCGCAGGTAATTATAAATCAAGCAAATCAGTTAAAATACAAGAGAAAAGCTAGTAAAAAGTAAATTCTGCCCAAAATAAATGTTGAATTAAGTAAACCACATCCTTCACGTTCAAATCAGATAATCAGAGAAAATATAACATTTATTGTTAAAAAATATTAAAAATTTCACATGCCATCTATGGCACATATCCAGTCACCTTATATTTTACTGGTGTCTGGAGATCACATTGCGTTTTAATTACATTAATAAAATAATATCTGTCAACGCTAAAATTCCATTTACACAAAACAGAAGGCAACAATCAAAGCCATGAAACAAAATTGATCACCATGAATAGGAATTAAAAAAATCGAACCAATCAATGATCATTATATAAAAAGTAAGTCAGTACCTCTCAGATGCATCTTGACCGTTGTTAGCATTCTTGTTGTCAACATATTGACCATTATTCCTTCGATCATTCCTCCAGTTCCGTCCACCAGCAAACTTCTGAGGCTCCCCGTCATTATAATTAGATCTCCTTGGATAATCTTTCCCCCCATTGTTGTTTCCACTCTCATACCTGTTTCTAGGAAAACCGTTACCATTTCCTCGCGGACTTTCTTGGATTTCACTTCCATTCTCCGAACCAGAACCATTACGGTGTTGATTCTCATTCTGACGAGGAACCCGATTCCCGTTTCTGAAATTCTCATTTCTCAAATTCCTCTGCTCACGATTGTACCCCCTTCCTTGTCCTCTTCTTCCATTAAAATCCCCATTGCCTTGGCTTTGGGCACCATTTCCTCTTCCCCTAGCTGCAAAACAAAGGGAATACGTTAAGAAAACGATATGACATATGAAATAAGCATTCTCTGATTAAAAAGAAAGAGAATAACATAAAACACCACAAAATAAATAGAAAAATATTAAGGATGGTAACCAACAAGAAAGCCCAACAAAATAACTCAAAAACAGTTTTTCCCCCTCAGATCGAAAGAGATAAATTTCGATCGAATACAAGGAAAGTGATATAGAACAAGGCAACATGTGAAAACCCAAAATAAATAAATAAAAGACTGATTTAAGTAGCGAGCAGCAAACAACATATATATGGGGTCTTGTATATCAAACAGATCAGATTACGTATCTTTATCTATCCACGAAATAGGTCTTAAGATGTAAATAAAGAAGGAAGAAAATCCTAACCTACATCCCTTCATGTAAATCACTTAAATGGTAAAAGCATTTAGGGTAGTTGTAAATTTTGGTGGATTTTGTAAACCTCCATCGGTTACAGGATTTCCTGTTTGATTTCACATCAGTTACAATATCACATCTCAATCCCTAATGAAGAATCTTATTCTACTCTATCAAATGTGAATATTTTTTAAAAAGAGAATAAAAAACTTATATATCTTATCTATTCATGAAATATGTCGCAAGATGTTATTGAACTCGTACAATATATTCCACAATAGACAAAATTGTTCACAACTATTTGAAATTACTTACGAGATCTAAAACTTTCCAAGACTAACATATTGTTTTAACTTAATCTTCAACCTGTATAATACTTATTAAATTAGACTATATATTATTGTTATCGTGCATGCATAATGGAGCCAATTGTTGTAAAAATTTTATTATAAGATCCTAACGATAATTATGAGATCAAAGCACTTGAAGTAAGAATCAGGTATCAACATTGGATCAGTGGCATGAGCTCCTGCTTTATGAAATTAATAACTAGCGGCCAACTTAATATTATTAATTTAGACCTCACGTCAAAAATCAGTTTTAATTCCTCAAATTAAGCAATTACAAAATTGGTTTGGAATATATGATCAATCTAACCAAACAGATTAGATTTCGTAAGTAGTCATCATTATATGTTAATTATTAGGAAGCTAAAGTTTTATTTATTAATTTATTTTATTTGTTTGTATGATTTGCTAAAAAGAGGTGCCGTATTTATTTATCAAATTAGAATTTCTGAGCGAACAATAATAGATTTAAAAAAAAAAAAAATCAAACGAACAATAATAGAACTTACAATACACAAGCATTGCTGATAAACAATAAAAGAGAAAAGCAATCATCTTGAAACCCCACCTTTGTCTGACACAGCGATATACTGCACGGGCGTTTTCCAAAAGAGCGAAGGAATTGCCGAGAGCCATCAGATGATTGTTTTTTTTTTCCCTCTAGGGTAGTTTTGGTACTTTTTGAAGAAGAGGGAGATGCCAAGGATTTTAGTTTTCTCCTCTTTTAAAAAGGAGAGATCTTTAGGCCAGCATTGATGAAACCCTAACCCTAACCCTAACCCTAACAAAAGAGAGGAAGGAGTTCGAGAGGGTTTCATGGTTTTGAGGGGATACTTATAGGGCTCGGGTTCCTTGGCGGAGAAGTTTCCGTAGCCGCTGGGATTCTGGTAGGATGTTGAGTCGGGTTTGATAGTTGTAGGGATTTGACCCGTTAAGGGTACCGTGATTTGGGCTGGAATCAAAATCCAATCGGAAGAATTTGGCTACTCTCACATCCGTGTTTTATCTTGTTTCTATATATGATGTTTTTTACAAAAAATAAAACACCATGAGTTTGAAAATGATGATTTTTTTGAGCTAAATCATTATCAAACCAAAAACATAACATTTATTTCAAAACACCTAATTTTAAGTTTGGTATTTTGATTTTGAGTTTGAGAAAATATTAATATAATATCTCTATATTAAATATAATTAATATATAGGTACCGACATGCTTATTATATTGTTTTATATTACATTATACTATACTATACCCCATGTCCTCTAACTTCTGAGTATTACTAAGAAAGTTTTAAAAATAAGTTTACAAGAGTTTAAGGGTGTTTTGAGTTTGTTTTTTCAAGTGTTTATGTGAAGTAATTTTCACAAGAGGAAGAGGAGATTATTCATTCTTGTTTGGGTTTCAATTTCTCATCTCCATCACTCTTGTTGTAGAGAAATTTTTGCTAACTCAATTCTAACTTTATATATTTATTTGTTGATTATCAATTTCATTAAGCTAGTTTTTATATTGAGTTTGCATTTCATTATACTCATGGTTTACACACACAACTCACTTGAGCTTTTAGTATTTTTACATATTGTATATTTGAGTTGTGGGAGTTGTAACATTGAGAGTGAGTTTAATTGAGTTCTCATCTTGTTAAGAGAACAAACCATTTGTATTTGTGAGACTATTTGTTGAGATCACATTGTAATACACAAGGACACCGAGAGAAGTGGTTGGTGAGAGACGAGGTTAATTCCAAGAGGAGTGGCGTTGGAACCCAAAGAAGAACCCAAAGAAGAAGGACTTTCACCTGAACCACTTGAAGAAGCTCCATGAGAACTTTTATCAGTATTTTTCAAACCAGCTCTTGAAGTAGCTCTGTCCAAAGCAGTCATAGGTTCATAATCCACAAACCTAGAACATCTTCTGACATAAGCAACTTTTGAATTGAAACTAGGATCTGTAGAAGGTAAGGAATTCAGAGGATGAATAATTGGAATGTCATCTTCCTTTTCTAAAACTTCCTCACTATTGAAAAGCACTGGCAACCATTTCTCACCATCATTATTTTCATTAGCCATAAGAGCTTTGCCTTTAGAATCTTCAATTAAAACACTCTCTTCTATTTCATGAGCTAAATTATTTTCGGAAATGATAGGAGACAAAGAGACATTCAACTCCACCTCAGACTCTTTACTCTTACTATCATCATCATCCACATCCTGATCAACCAACACTTCATTTTCAGAAACAATCACTTGTTCTGTAACTTGCTCAGCCCCAATATCCTTTGAAGAATTATCTTCCCAAATCCCCCACACAGATTTTTTATTCTGATAAAAAATCTTAGCATCATTCCACAATCTGGCAGCTGGAGAATCCCATGGATTATTCCGCAAATCCTGTCTAACAGTCCATGAATTAGTGTCAGAATCTTTGAAAGAAGAAGAACCAGATCCACTATCCTTTCTCCCCTTAAATCATTTATCCTGATAAGAGCTCTTATTGTTATCTTCCATATGATCCACTTTCTATTTTTTTTCTTTTCAACTTCAACAACTTCACCCATAACCGACATAATAGAAACTGTAACATTATACTAATTTTTTCCAACAAAAATCTTCAAGACCTTAGGAATGTCAATGTATTCTAAACATCTGACTAACAAAACAATATCCACAAACTCAGAACCAACACTTGTCAGCGAAGCTAGATAAACCAAATCAGCAAAAGGTTTCACCATCAACTCAAAGGATTCTCTATTCCATAAATGAGGAGGAACATTTTTCAATTTGATCCACACCAGAGAATTCCTCTTTTCAACCACATTCCCTTCCCAAGCATTCCATCTTCGAAACTTAATTTTACAAGATCTTAGGGATATAACCCCCATCTTTATTAAATCCTCCATTTGTCTCCACGGTTGAATTTTAACCAATACTTCTCCAGGATATAACCCCCATCTTTATTAAATCCTCCATTTGTCTCCACGGTTGAATTTTAACCAATACTTCTCCATTAGTAAAAAGTCTCACATCCCAATTCCTCCATTTGTCTCCACGGTTGAATTTTAACCAATACTTCTCCATTAGTAAAAAGTCTCACATCCCAATATTTATTTAACAGAAAATAAGCTCTCAAATCTAACTCCAGCCTTTCTAAAGAGACATTACCACCCTCAACAAAAGAAATTATAGCAAAATTTCTGAATTTTTGAAAGCCAGAATTCACCTCCCCTTCAAAATGAAGAACAACAGAAGAGAAACGAGGACGATCACGTGAAATCTTCAATTCAGCCTCCAGATCCCCAAAATCTCTTGGTCCATTATCTTGACACTGAAGAATATTTTCTTGCCCTTCAACTACTGATGAAATAGGTCTTTTTCCTTTATCCTGTCGTTGTAAAGAATCATGTTTTCTTGAAGAAGATTGAACCGACGTCGCCCTCTCCCGACGCCATTGCTAAGGATTCAACCGACCAGTACCACCACCGTTATTAGGGTTTTGCCCAAAACGACCATCGCCACCATGATTCCCAAGATTACCTCCAGATCGACCACCAAAATGGCCACGCACTCCATATTCAGATCTTCTACCTCCATTACCATGACCTCCATATTCAAATTGAAAACAATTCTTAGCTTCATGCCCAACTCCTTGACATCTGAACCACACAATCGGATCTCTATAATTTTTCGCCATGTGTTTCGATCCTCCACAACGAAAGCACAAACGATTCCTTTGGATAAGATCAGTAGAAAGATAAAGGGGAGAAGCAGATTTTTTGATAGACTACAGCGATCTAGGGTTTTGTTTAACAACACTAACCCAATCGCCCTTATCAATATCCACCTTCAATTCCTCTTGAGATCTACATGATGGATCAACTCCAACTCCCACCGTTGATTTTAACTCAACCTCAGCCACAAAATTAACCCTAGTTTCATCACAAACCCTAGTTTCACCCAAAACAGGCCAAACTTTAGGTTGTGAGGAACTGGGCTTTGAAACAAAGAGAGAATCAGAGATTAAAGAAGGAACAACTTCACCCCAAATTTTTTGAGCCACAAAATTTGTTGTTTCAATTGGCTCAATCAACTCCTTCGAACTCATCCCCAAAATCGCCATTCTTTTGGACCCTACAAAAAGCAAGTTAAAGTTGCTTTTGCCCGTTTCTTAACTCAAATATCCGACATTTTGTTCGTTGCAACGTTCGTGATGTCTCTGAATTGTAATTTATGTACTTTCATACTTCTGTTAGCGCTAAATTATTATATATTGTTATTTGTAGTCAGTACTTTTTATTATATGGTAATTTCTAAGACATCTTTACCTAATATTTGACGCGTTAAGACTTGTAATGAGAAATTGTTGGATAGCTCATGTGCAAACATGTGATCATTTTAACCAGTTTAGAGAGGCTGGGGGCCTTGTTGACGCGGTAAAGATCGAGATGTAGTGGAACAAAAAAAGGTTGAAACTAGCTAGAGTCCATGACTCAGATAGAAACAAATGAAAGCTTGGTAGTAGGAAAGACAACACGCATTCATCTAACACGATGGCCTCTTTAAGCTCAAGTTCACGATCCAATCAATAGGTTAGAGAAAAAATGTGTTTTTTGAAGAAGAAAAACTCTAATTTCTAATTAGGCTCTGTTTGGATATCGTGGTGTTTTACTTGTTTCCATTGTGTTTTTGTCAAAAACGAAACACCATGCGTTTGGAAACCATGATGTTTTTTGAGTTAAATCATCCTCAAACTAAAAACACAACACTTATTTTAAAACACCTAAAAAGTGTTTTAAGTTTGGTGTTTTGGTTTTGAGTTTGAGAATGTGTTAATATAATATCTAACATAATATATTAAATGTAATTAATATAGAGTTATTAACAACATGTTTATTATACAATACTATACTATAGTATACTATACTATAGTTAATCTAATAGATTAGTAATATTTATTAAATAATATAAAAATATAATAAATAAAATATCTTATATAACAATATAATAACATATTAAGTACTAGTATTTAATATGTTAACAATGTATTATATAATAATAAATAATAATAAAATATAAATAAACTAATAAAAAATAAATAAAAAAGTTATTGATAATAAATAATAATATAATAATATACTACATAATAGTATAATCGCTATATTAATATTATTAACCTTTTAATAAATAAACTATAATAAATTAATAATTGTAAAATATTATATAATAGTAACATATTTAAAATAAAATAATAAAATAATAATAATAGTATTATAATATATTATACAGTAAATGTAATATAATATATAAAATATTATTATATTATATAATAATAACATTATTATAAAAATATTAATATAATATATAACAGTAACAAATTGATATACGAAAATAATTAAATATATAATTATTTGAAAATAATATGTAATAATTATAATATAATATAACTCACTAAGTACAATATAATATTATAATACATTATATAGTTTTATATTGCATTATATTTAGTACTTCTAATACTATAATAATGTAAACTAAATATTATAACATTTTATTTATAATATAATTTATTATAATTAATATATAATATATTA